AGTTCGAGGCTATTACGAACCATAAACCATTACTGGGCTTGCTTTCTCCAGACAAGCTGGTGACTGAGGTATGTTCACCGCGTATCATTCGTTGGGCGCCGATGCTTAGAGCATATAACTGCAAGCTCATGTACCGGCTGGGAGCAAGCATTGCCAACGCAGATGGTTCAAGTCGCCTACCACTACTAGTGTATGCTCAACCTGTGGAAAGGTCAGCAGAAGTTTTCATGCTGGGGGCTGCTTATCCTCGGGTGTTGCAGTTGACTGTAGTTGTGGAAGCTACTTGCAAAGACCCAACATTAGTGAAGCTACGAGGTGCCTTATGGTCTGGAGCTGAGCTATGTGACCCCGAGTTCAGATTCTACACAGACCGAAAACTTTAGATGAGCGTGCAAGAAGACTGTATACTTCTCGGATCGTGAGAGGTAATCCCAAGGGCATTACAGCAAGAAGTGTTGCGACTCCTTCATGAGGGGCACCCTGGAATGACCAAAATGAAAGCTGTTGCTAGGAGTCACATCTGGTGGTCTTCGTTCGATGAGGACATTACAGTGGCATTTCGCCAGTCTCGGGTCTGCCGAAAACACCTGAGGGCTGCATGGCCGGTAGGTAGCGATGACGTCATGGTCGTTTTTGGACACACCTCACCTTCATATCGACTTTGCTGGACCTTTGAAGAACTGCTACTTGCCGATCGTCATCGATGCATTTTGAAGGTGGATAAAGGCGGTGCCTATATCAACATCATCGGCAGAGGCAACTATCCCATGCCTGAGGGTCATGTTTGCTCACGGATCACCAGATGTAATGGTGTCCGGCAGCGGACCAGCGTGCGTGAGCGAAGAGTTCAAAAACTTCCTGCATCGAAACGGCATCAAACAAGTACTTACACTTGCATACCATTCATTTTCAAACGGGGCTACAGAACGTACAGTACAGTGAATCAAGTCGAAGCTAAAGAAATCAGCAGAGGGAGTTTTACATGCCTAAGGTCTGAGCATCGCCTCTGTACCATTAGAGTATGCATCGAGCTCTACTTGCTTTTTGATGAAGTGGGAAGCTTAAGTCTAAGTGCTTTTTGTTGGAATTTATTTTTCTCCCCTGATCCCTTCTATGCTGCCACTCTTTCTGCCTTTATATGTCGCGAGACAGAATGTTTTCATTTATAAAACGCAATAACAAATTAGTTCCAGCTCGCAGTCTGCATCATGGCACCACACGGGAATGCTCGGGTCCCGAGCGCTTCATAGGAATAATTTTATCTGCGGAAAGCATTGAAGCACAAGAAGCAGCAGCCAGAAATGAAGGTTAAAACCACGCTTTGACAAGCTAAACAGGAAATTTTTTAGGTGTGTTTCTGGTGAATGCATAATGTTGCCAGATGCTGGCAAGTACTGGAGAAAGTTTTTGCATATATGAACGTGTGTACATAAAGGTGTGAGCACTCATGAATTTGAAAGTGAGTGAGTAGCTTGGAATGTGGATACACCTGAGTATGATAGTAAGTAAGGGTGTAGGAGTATGAACATCTGTAAGTAGCTTGGAGGGTGAATGTATATGAGTGTGAACTTGAGTCAGTACGTAATAATGTGAGTGCACGTGAGTATTAACGTGAGTTTGAAGCCTGGAAAAAAGAATAAAGGTTAGTGAGCATGAGTGAGTATTCTCTTGCAGTGCCAAATTATTCACTCTTGGCAAAATCACGCGAAGCACGATACATGGGCCGGACAAGTGAATTTCATGAGGCTCCGAACACTGCACCCACTGGGTCAATGTTTTGCTATAAAAGCACGCAATAAGAAAGTCGCAGCAGATTTGACAGACAAGGTCCTGCTCACCATTCCAACTTTTGATCACATAGATTTTAGACTTTGCATTATTACTGTGAAGGTACTTTTGCAAAAAAAGAAAAAAAAAACATTTGCTCAAAAGAAATGAAAATTTGGGCATGAGAAAGCACTCTTTCATCATTTTTGAAGTTTCTGAACTTTGAGTGCACTTGGTCAAAGCACTGTGCACTTTTTTAATCATGAAGCTAACTCCCATCAAAGAACTGGATGTGGAGTTTTGTGAGTTTTATTTTTTTTTTCGCTGCCAAAGTATTTTTGAGGAAATGAAATTGTAAACATGGCAAACAGCATAAATTACTTGTATTTCAGAAATGTATTGCTGCAGATAGGCATAACTGAGGATTATAATACTCAGTGCATATTGACTTTAACATTTGACTTGCTTCTAAAATAATTATTGTGGTTTTCGCACTTGTTGTTATACTTCAGAATTGTGCTGAGGCATGTGTGCTTTACCGAAAAATCAAAGTTTTTTCTGAAAATACTTTTTTCAAAAAAGCCATTTCAATATAAAAAAATCTCTCTGACTGAAGTCAAGAACGGTGTCTGCTGTTATGTGTGAAGAAACAGTTGCATTATTCGAGTTTATAACAAGCAAGTCAGATGTGGTCTCTTTGGCTCAGCGGTGGTGCCATTAATTATGTGCTGCAAATTGTGCACACAATGTTAATTAGAACTGACTTTAAAAGGTTTTTGTTTGTTGAGATATCTTATTTTCAGGTTGAGCTAATAATAGAGCCATTTGAATAACCACATTTCATGCATTTAGGTTCACTGATTCCCAAGTTACAGCCATTTATCTAGGTTGTCCACATATGTTGCTTTGTCAGGCTCTAGTGAATTTAGTAAGTGTGCTAGCACCATGAAATTCACTTTAATGATTCCTGGGTGGGTGCTTTACACTAGGACAAAGCTCTTTTTTAATTTCCTCACTGAAAGTTTTTAGCAGAGCACTGGATTTAGTGTTTATGGTTGAGCTGTTATCAATGATATTTCAATTGTCAGAAATTACAGGCACAATAAATTCAAAAAGTGGCTCTGATAGCGGGTGGGTGATTTCTCAAGGTACATAGTAAAACAAATGTGATAGAAATCAGATGAACGGTTGCAGAGATATCACCAGACTAAACAGCCTCACTGGCCCAAGAAGTCATTCTGAGAAAACGGACTTCGAAAGTTGTGAACACATATTTTGGTCTAAAATGACCCTGCACAGTAGCTAGACGAGCCCTTGGGGCGCTATTCCTTTGCTGCTTTTTCTGCTTGTGTTGCATCCTTTTTTGAGCTTTTTTCAGACGGAGAGTGTCTCTCTCAGGTTCAGGCATCATCTGCAACTTCCTCTCGGTCGCCGGCGTAGTGCTGAGTTTTTGTTGCACAGCAGCACTTTGTTATCCTCCGCGGCTAACTCCTCGCACGTCTGAAAACGTGTCTGCAAATGAACAGTCGATGTGGTCGCACTGTTCGAGGCTGTAATCACTGCGGTTAGCGAGTGCGACGCATCAGGGGCACTTGAGCATGAAACACCAACACCATTCTCAGTTGTGACGACAGGGTCTTGCGCTGATGGCGAAGCCATCCCGACGTCATGATAAGCGTCAATGCAGTCGCTGTCTTGTAGAGACGAAGCAGGAGCTGCTCCACCGGAAGCATCGATGCGACGGTCGCCGTGCGTTGCCTGATGAACGAGCCGCGCCCTGCGTATGAGCTTCATTTGACGCTTTCTTGAACTGATTGCATGCAGAGTTCCGAACTTTGTTTTGCCCATCGTGACCGACAGCGCTACAATCAGTCTACCGTGAACATGGCGAACAGTTGTCTCGTAAAAACAGTAGAATATCGTCTCGTAAAGACGGTGAAAGATTGAAGAGCACGTGTGAAAGCCGAGTGGGATGATGGCAAACGGGACACACAAAGAACACTTGCCTTGAAGGCGCCGGAGCAGACGACAAGCTGGGGGAACAGATGCGTCATCGCACCCAGCAGTCAATAGGAGCCGCGTGATAGCCCACTTCCTCGAGATGCGCGCGCTTCCTCCAATCGCAGCTTCGCATTTGAGCCGCGGGAACTTCAAAATTTCGAGAGCCCTCCTTCCCCCCCCCCCCCCCCTAATCATGAGTGATTTCTACCTCGGCCTCTGCTGCTGCCTCGAGTGGCGAAAAAAAAAAAACAGTAAGAATTCACGAGAAAAACAAGATGAAGATGGCGGCATTGAGCTGCGTGGTTAGGAAATATCAAACACGCGAAAATCGGGCATTTTCAGCGCTCGCTGGCCACTTGCCGGCTGCCGTGGCATGTTATATAATTTATTTGACCTACTTTCGCGATGAATTAGACATTAATATTTACAGAACAGATAGTTTATTATAAGACATATTACCTGAATATGTAGTTATCAAAAAATTGACTTTTTCGCGATTTTTCAGTTTTAGAGGGCGCGTTTTCCCTTAAAGCCAAGGAAAGCATTACGTGTAATAACGAGGTAAATGTGAAGCAAGTAAAGTGGATGAAAAGGTGAGTTGCTGCTGGCAGGGATCTAACCTGCGACCTTTTGTACAAGTTTTTCATAGTCATTGACATAATTTCAAAGCGCCTGTTTCACAACAACAAATACATAAGCATGGCGCAGCAAGCTTCGTCTAGGCAAACTTTACGAGTGGAGGCAGCCACTTGAGGCAGCGGCTGCTCAACTCTGTTTGCATGTGCAAACGAAGTTCGGAGGGCAAATTTTTCACCTGCAATATCATTCGTGCAGTTTCAGTTATCCATAAATTCGTGTTCATATACATTGAGCTATCGAGAATTCGTGGTAGTTATAAATACAAAGGCACAGTAGAAAGAAAAAGCTCAACACTGGGAAACTTGAAAGAGGAAGAACTTTATCTGAGTGCGGCAGTTCATTGTAGTTGTAACTTGAAGCAGCACAAAGACACAAGAAGAAACCTTGTTGATATTTTGTTCTGCTCTTTTTTTATCACATTGGTCCAAGTTATGTGCAAGGTGTAGAAGTCTTGATGCATGCAACCTAGGATTCTGTCATCGCATACTACAATTGTATTTTCTCACTTAGTTCCTAGCAGGATTTTCCCTAGTACCTGCTTCTGTTTGTTTTTCTTCTTTTTCTGCTGAAGATCTGGTTTTGATGATATGCAGGAAAGAAGCCAACATTCTCAGGCAGCTCAAGAGGCTCGGTGCATCTCTCGATTATTCGCGCTACATGTTCACCATGGATGAGGTAAGAGTTGTCACGCCATCACTTGTATTGATTGGCATGAAGGGAAGACATCGCAGTACTCAATCAAATATTGCTAGGATAAGTGTGTAGGTAGTCCCTGTCACATCATGCTTTGGAAGTGTGTAAGTCAATGTCATGCGGACTTTTTATTCTCCTGACCGGTAGCCGGCCCCCTCACAAAGATTCAATTTATTATTAGGTGGGAAAGCTATCACTGTCGTTTTGATGTAGAAGGCTGGATCGCATGCTGCTCTCAACCAGCCAAACTTCTGTACAACTGCTACCAACATGACTTTACACACGGCATCATTTCGTTGCTCCAGAGCAGTGTGCGATGCTGTGAATTTGACTTATGGCCCTTTACCTGAAACTGCTTAATGTAAAAATACTTGCTCGCTGAGTACAAAAGTTGTAGAAATAAGTAATCCTAATTATGAAAAAGGCCTTTGCCCTGCAGTGGGCATAGTCAGGCTGATGATGATGATTATATCCCAAGTTAAGAATGTATTTTTACGTGGTATGCACCTCTAAGCTTTCAAGCCTGAACATGGGTATTTTTGCGCAATTGTAGACCTTTATCTCTTGCTTGAAAATTACTCACTGATTTATTTGTATCAAGCATTGAAATCCACACGCCTCATTTTCAGTTTAGGTTCTCAGGCCTCTGCAGTTGCACGTGACATGAACACTGTGCTACGTCTAGGTACTACTCCTTACAACATGCTTTTTTTTTTGTAAAACAATCTCCTGTGCTACTTCTATGTACAGCCACGGCCTTATCTGTGTAAAGCGTAGAGCAGGCAGTTTCGGGCTCTGACGAAGTGTGTCAGGAGCATGTGCGGCCTAGTAGTCAGGCTGACCACGTCAGAGCCCAAAACTGCCTCAAAGTGTTGCTTCGCGAAGCAAAAACTGACTGCTCGCATGCTCGATACCTGCCACTCCCAGATTGGCCGGGAGACTCCCGGATTTCGACCGTTTTTTGCGGTTGTACGGTTGTCATGAAATCTCCCAGAAATCGAAATTTCTGTGCTTGACCTGGCCACATTGAGAAAAAAGCAGCTAAACCCGGTCCAGGCTTTTCGAACCTACCCCATTTTATTATAAATGAGTTTAAGAGGCGTTCATGTAAACGTGCAGCATAATCTCAGTGATGCGAAACCGCGGCAGATACGGATTCTTAAATTCACCTGCCAAATTTTACTATCTTCATTGGGCCTCCATTTGAATGTTCCAAACACATTTTCTAATTGCGGCGGATGATACAAACTTTAGTACGGAAACCATTGAACGAAGGCCGAGAGCAGCGTACTGGAAGCTTCGGAAGTACGCATGCGACCGGCGCACTACAGTGCGTGTGATTGTCGTTGCCACAACCGCTGAGGACAAAACCGCGGTCGATCATGACACGATCATGTATGGCGACGATGTAACTGAGAGAACCCCGAAAGTATGCGCTCAATCAGTCAAAGCAACGCTGCTTTCCACAAACTCTGCGGGAAAAACCTGCGGCAGATGCTATTGTTGATGGCATAAAACGACTTAGCTTCAAGGCGCGTGCGCAGCCAAGCGCACGGGGATTGTAAAATGATCTACCGTTCGCCACAGCCACCACGCACAGAACCGCGGTCGCGGCGACACGATAGCAATCTACGAGCTCCGAGGGCATGCAGTGGTAGGTTAAACGCAGTACATACATAAAAAATAAAAAAAGTTACAGTTTCGCCGCAAGGGCGAAGCAATAAATGTGACAGCAACAACTTGGAATGTAACGCTGAGAACGGCAAGCAGATATAAACGTGCGGCGCACTGCTGACACACAAATGACGCACGAAAACGATTCGCAGGACGAGAGCAAACTAACAGCATTTACTGCTCGACACGTAACGCAGTGTTTAAACAAAAACGATGCATGATACGTAATCACAGGTATAGATGAGTACAAACTGACAAGTGTGCTAGTTGTTATACCTTGCTGTGTATGAAAAGCGCGCTGTTTTCGCAAAGAGGGCCTTTGCAGAGACCGAAGTGACCTTTGTGGGCCAGGCAACTAACGCTTTCGTTTCAGTGAAAGCCGAAGGCACACGATTCCTCCACCAAAGGATAAGCACGCACGCACAGGCATCCATTCATGGGGCAAAGTACATGAGAGATAAGCTCACATCCGCGCATCGCAACGAGCTCGGCACCGAGTGCGGGCGGCTTTTTTTCTTTGAGTGTTCATATATATAGATACGTATATGTATACGGTGAAATACGGTGGTGGTGGCGATGGCAAAAAAAAGGAAAAAACAGACTGGACTGTACATATAATTGCTATCACAATAAAAAGGGGCCAGGCGCGTTTTGGCGTTTTTGCCAAAAGAATCTTGCAGTGAGCAAAGCTTTGACCCGCGCTTTTGCGGCAGCCAGCTGCGCCGTCCTGTTCGTTCACGTGTGTCCCAGGAAGACACATGTGAGTTGTTTTGACTGAAATAGATTCTGCTAGTTGTGTTGATCCTTCGAGACTCTCACCTTAGGGAAAAACTCTACCCACATGTGTTCTGCCACTCCTAGCCACTATAAGACTGCAACGCTGATGTTGATGCTTGCGATTGAGACCCCCCCTCCCACCCCCTTTTGTTTTTCGCAATGTTTTTTGTTTGTTTGTTTATTCTTGTTTTTTTTAATGCTCCCCCCTCTCCTCCATTGCGGAAATTTCCCGGATTCAGAATACTTGAACTTGGCAGGTATGCATGCTCTACAAAGACATGGATGCAGCTGTACTATTTCTTACAACATGCTTTTAACCCAATAGCGCTAGGGAGCTCGGTTTACGGAAATTTCGCCGGCGGCGTTGTTGGTTGTGAGCGAAAAATCATCTTGTGCGTGACACCAGAAACAAGAACGATGAAAATAAAAAAAAAATACTGTATTTTCCGGTCTATGAGTCGCACCCTTGTACAAGTTGCACCCCCCTCAAAATGGAAGTTTTTCCGGAAAAAAAAAAAAAATGTATATAAGCCGCACCAGTGTACAAGTCGCACCTCCTTATCCGGCCAATGAGTGTCGCGTCATGAGAAAGCATTGCGAAAATGCATGCTTGAGGTGGCAACTGGTTTTGCAAGTTTCCAGCTGTTGTGAGACGCGTGCGAGCGCCTCCCAACAAACATAAAAATAATATTTCTAGTCAGAAGTGTTTTATTATTCCGATAAACCAAAACCATCGAAGTCGTCTTTCTCCGAGTTGCTCACAAACAGTTCAGCTATTTCGGGTTGTAGCAATGCTGGCCCGTCACTGTCGTCTTCTGACTCGCTCGAATCGGACTCAACATCGGCAATGCAGGGGATCAACCCGATCTTACGAAAGCCTGCCACAATTATCTTGTCAGAAATGGTTTTCACTCGCCCATTTCCATGGGCGAGTGAAAACCACTCGCCCATGGTTTTCAGAAAAGGTTTCACTCGCCCATTTCGCCACTTCGCCAAACTCAGTGCATCTCATGCGACCCGTTTTAGTGAAGTTATGCTCACCCTCTGGCATCCATGATTCCCGCAAACGTTGCAGAACGACTTTGAAGCTGTGGTTGACAGATATGTCGAGCGGCTGAAGTAACTTGGTCATGCCGCCGCGAATGATTACAGGCACACAATGCTTCGAACTGATTTTTTTTTACGATGTCGATGATATGAGCCCGCATACTGTCTATCACCAGTATTCCTGGCTTCACGTCAAAGAATCTATCGGGTCGACGTGAAAAATAGCGGTCAAGCTACACACCCATCATTTCCTTACATTCCTTCCGTATACCTTTACTATGGTAGGTGAAATATGGACTTTCTACGCCTATTATTTTTCACGCATATGACATATTTTGTATGTGCTTCCTAATTAGTTATTTGCACTCTACACTTTATTTGAAGCATTATGAGCTTTGAATGGTAAGAAATTACAGACGTTTAAGGATGTAAAGAGGGGGGCAAAAGGGTTAAGGTTTTCACTTTGTCAGGTTGCAGAGCTCAAAATGTGTAACTTACAAAAAAAATCAATTATGTATTTGAAATCAGCATAAAAATTTCCATAAACAGCTCAAGTTGCATTGCTCTAGGGTGAATATTAAAAAGAAAGTGTCTTCGAGTAGCATCTCCTCTAAATGTAAGCATGGGAGGCAACTTGGCGCTGTCTGCACAGCAGGCGAGCACAACGGTGAAGTGAGACTTTTCATGGCCAGTTGTCCTCACCGTCACAGTTTCCTGGCCTTTCACGGCGACACTTCTCTCTAGCGTGCTATCGAAGGTCAACGGCACTTCATGTTGACGATGTGGCTCGCGCTGACGTTCTTCGCAATTTCCTTCCTCATGAATGAGCTGAAGTGTTCCAGCTGCGCTTGAAAGTCGTCAGGTAGCATCTGGCACACTGTAGTCCAGGCTCGCATGACAAGCTGATTCCACCGCATAAAGCGGAAACACCATAACAGACCACCATTGAAACCCTCAGTGTTTGTCTCCGCAGCCAGAGCCTTCGCTTTAAGGTGCAGCTGCACTGTAGACAGGCCTCTTCCTTTGGCTCGCTGTTGTAGCACCCACGTTTGCTGGCTACGCTCAAGGTCCGGCCTGCGTGCCTTCTTGCCCCGGTTGGCTTTTTTATAGACTTCATTGTCCGGAGGACGCTGTGAGCCTTGCGCCAGTCCTGGATTACTTTTTCGGTGACATCGTATTCCCTCCCTGTAGCACGATTTCTATGTTCTTCTGCAAATTCAACTACACGCAGCTTAAACTTCGCATAGAAACTTTGCCGACTTTGCTTTCCATGTGGCGCCATGGTTAGCGAGGATGCTGTGACGATGCTGCTACGCCTATGCTATGACGCGCAATAGCAATGGTGACTGCTATGGCAGGCGGGCGGAAGGGATGGCAAACGAAGCGGCTCCAGCGGCTCTTGTCTGAAATGCAAACTTGCCTTCCATTATTTATAATTTTGAATACCTCTACTTTTTTTACCCCTCAATGATTGTTTATTTTCT